CAATAGCCATTGAGTCACTGCGTGTTCTCTCTCATCATTTTCAGTCTGAACAGCAGTCTCCTGGAAACCCGTACGTACATGCCGTACAGAAATAGGAGAGGGCCACGAACTCTGCACGGTCGATGCTTCCGAGCTCTCTCCTGCTTTAGCTTCCACGCTTTTCTTCCACTTGTCCTGGAAGTCATTCAATTGCCGTCTTACTGCCTGAAGCTCCGCGCTGATCTCGCTCTGCTGAGCCAACAGTTCGTTTTCCACTTGCTTCTCTTTCTGTTTAGCTACTGGGGATAGCGGCTTCTCCTCTGGCACTCGGGGAGACACGCAAGGTGCCGGTTGGAACCAATTGGCGCTGCTGCGGACACTCGAGAGACCCTGAAAGCTTTCCTCTAGTCTACGCCGCGTATACAGCGTGTGGAGTTCACTCAGATCACGTTGTTTTTCCTCCTGGAACCCTCCCCGAGAGCGTTGTATACGGTATACACGCTGGTGCTCGGTGCTGGCCACACTGCTAGCCGTGTCCAAGCTCACATCAGCCTCCACGTCGCTCCAGTCGCCTGCGGAGCTACTGCTAGCCACTTCGCTGTACTCCTCCCAGTTTGGCAGCGCCCAGGGGGCACCCGTGTCGTCTCTAGGGTCCTCGGTATCGGGGCGCAGTGCTGCCATGAGGCAGGTGTCGTTTGGCTGGAGCTTTTGGGAATTTGAATTGTGAGGAGAATGTGATTGGTCGAAAGTCCTTGGAAATGCTCCAACGTGTTCACAATGTGAACTTCTGTTCACATTTGTTGTATACAGAAGGTAACTTGCGAGTATTTGTTCACATTTGTTATATACAGAAGGTAACTTGCCCATATTGATTGCTCTCGGGCGAGTAGATAAGTGCAAGCCTAGAATCAGTCATCAAACAGCGAGAGGTGACTGGAGGACGTTTTGAGGCGCTTTCGACGCCCGTTGCTGCCCATAGTAGTGACGCTCGTAGGTGACGACGATGCAGCGTCAGCGTTGGTACCCGAGCTTATAGTGCGATGCGTTCCTGGCGGACAAAGTCGTTCGTCCTCTGAATCTAACCAGCGCACCTCATCGCCGACCTGGATCTGCACGAGCAGCGATGTGGAGGTGGCCAACACCTTACCGTCACGCCACAGCATCCGTTTTTTGCCTGGTCGCGCCTCACCCACCTGCACCGCGTCATGCACTTGGAATTTCCTCCAATTAGGCACTCTCGAGTGCGTTGGCATGAGCCTCGGCGACGTTTTGGCCAGCCACTCGTCCCATTTCACACTCCAGCCACGATAGTGCACCTTGACCCGCGAATCCGTGATGTCGACGATCTTCGCTTCGTACCACCTGCTGTCGGTGTCCAATGCGTCCACACTTTGGTCCAGTTTAAGCTCCGATCTCCACTGTTCCAGTTTCACAGGAGTCCACTCTTCTCGCGTGGGAGAAGACGGCGGCGATGGAGCTACAGCCTCGGAGTTTGGAATGTGGCCATGACCTGTAGCGCGCTCCTCCAGTCCAGAAGGATACACGTCCACGCCAAGTCGTCGACCCATGGTCACCACCTCGCGACGCACGGCCCAGTCGTAGCCAAACTCCAGGGACAGCGCACTCCACACCGGCTCGCTGACCAATCGGAAGTCCACATCTTCCATTAGATTAGGATGCAGGATAGAGCGACTACAGCAGCGACAACTGCGCTTGGCGTCCACAATGTCGGAGTTGCGGATGCGCGAGTCGGTGGGTGTGTCACCGCGCTCCACCACGCGCTGCCACCAGCCACATGACACGACGAACCAAGTATCACCGAGGCGATAGCTGCGTGCCATTTTTTTTT